ATCATAAATGCATGTTGGACCTTGTCGAAAGCTTTTTCTGCATCTATTGAGATGATCATGTGGTTTTTGTCTTTGGCTCCATTGATAGAGCATATAACATTTATAGATTTGTGAATATTGAACCAACCCTGCATTCCTGGAATGAATCCAACTTGGTCATGATGTATGATTTTCTTGATAATTTGCTGCTTTCTCTGGTTTTGGTATCAGTATAATGCTTGCCTCCAGAAATGAGTTAGGGAGAATTGCTTCCTTTTCAATTTCATTGAATAGTTTGAGGAGGGTCGGTATTAAATTCTGATCCAGGGTTCCCTTGCAGTTCAGTGCATGTGCACGACCTGACTCAGGTTGCACTGGTGCGACAATCCCTCTCCAGTGGACCTATGTCTCCAGGCAGTTTAGGGTAAAGGCATCTTTCAGACACAAACTGCAGGGTCTACAGTTTGTGAACCACCTAAATCTATGTCTCCACTCAGTTCAGGACTCATACAGGAACCAGATGCAGCCCAGATGGGTAGCAGTCACAGACTTCCCCAGCCTTCGACTCACTAGTGGGTCTGGGCAAAGGCAAAGCACAGACTTGAATCCACTGGCCCTGCAGCTCCCGGAGTACTTGCTCTCTTGGCGTAGGGCGCATAGGGCTCAGAGAGTCTGCTCACCCAGCCCCCAGCTGGAGAAGTCCCCTGGGCCTCTCAGACTGGACCTCCTCTCTGCCACTGCAGGGACTCAGTCTGTAATGTTGGCAGGGTCCTTGTTCACGCGTTCTGCCTTCAGGGATTAGATGGGAAGTACCTGGCTCTCTGCCCGCGTTTCAGCTGGGAATCGTGGTGGTGTGGGTCCAGAACAGACTCAAACCCAGGAGCCCTGCCTCCCCCGGAGTACTTGCTGTCTCGGCACAAGGCGCATGGGGCTCAGCGAGCCTGCTCGCCCCACCCATCCCCAAACTTGCTGTTTTTTATATCTAAAAAATAAAGAAACCAAAGTGAGCTAAGTTAGTGGACATCCCACAAGGATTTGACAGAAAAGAGCAGAAAGGAAACACGGTGGTAAAATGAGCGGGAAATTTTATTGAAAAGCCCTCCCCAACCAAAGCCACTATTTTGGTCTTTTAAGTGATTCTTCTTTGCCTGGTCTATCTCTGAGCTTAGGAAATTTGCTTAAAGTTGGAGTCAGGTTCAGTACACTCCCACATTTCGATGCTTTCTGCCCTGGCTCACCAGCCCATCACACTCAAAAGTGAAAACCAGCTGAGATCTCAGTTCTCCCCGATAGGGCCCAGCTGTGTGCCGAATATTTCCAGCTTACTCCTTTCTAAAGGCTTTCGGATTATATGAGCAAACAGAGGTTCACAGTGTATACTAAATTCAACTCAGTTTTGAATTCATCAGCCCAAATCCCTCGGCAACCCTATTGTAATTCTTCCTTCCAGCATAAATAATTCTTCTGCTTTTAACACATCTTTGCAACAGCTCTGCAGCATCACAAGCTTTACAGATGCTCTGATATCAGCTTTTAAATCTCCTGAGCTATGAATGGTCTCTGGCAGCTCCCTGCCAGAAAGATTTTACCACCTTCTGACAATCTATGGGTAGCTGAAGTTGCATAGATCAAAATAAGAGTATAGGATGTTCTTAGTTATTCTAGAAAATCCTGAGGGAAACACAAGTGTTCCATTATAAGGCATCTCCGTGGGTTAGTAGGTTCTCTCTTAACTTAGAGTGATGGTAAATGGGCCATTCACATGGAGGAAAACTCAAATACATTTCAACACTTAGATCTGTTTTCTTGCTTTATAGTAATTTTAGCAAAATTTCTAATTTTGCTCATGGTCTCAGAGTTTTTCTACTTAAAATTTTTCTAGAAACAAGACTAAGACTTTTTTATTCATTTGGGCCTCAGATCTTTTCGTAAGAAGTCAAGCTGATAGCAGTTGGCCCTGTATCCATGAAAGGCAGTCTGCAGAAGATATCCCCAAAGCACAGTGAGTCATCTGATTTTTCTTTTCATCAAAACTTTCCATAATTTAAACATATTAGAAATTATCTGCTAGAATATACTGAGCAGATGCTGTAATGGACATTTTCTCTGTTTCTGACAGGCTCACCTTTTTTTTTCTGGTCATAGCATCTAAATTGCCTTTTAGAGAAGGACCTTCTCTCCCCTTTGTAGGCTTGGTGAGACTGTGTTAATCAAAGTTCACCAACCTCTTCTTGGAGGAAAACTCATTCACTCTAGGGCAGTTGGGCCTGTGGACTTTGAGTTGTGAATCAAAGGATGAAAGGCTAGAAAGTAAATGTCTTTTGGAGATGTTGCTTGTCATTTGAAGCACACTGATAAAACTGTCATTCATTTCCTGCTGGTTTTCTTCCCTGAGCAGGGCCTGTCTCACTTCTGCTGAGCCGCATCCTCTCCAGTGCTATCAACTCTTCTAACAAATTCCTCTTTTCATTAAATTACTCAGGTTTGTCTGAGAAATTTAAAGTCAGGAAATCCAACTTGTACAAGTGCACCTACCTAGATGGTAGATTATTTTTAAAAGTAATCAGCTAATCCACAATGTACCTCTGATTTCCACTACACGCATCTACTTTAATATTCAGGTTAAATGTCTAAAAGAGATATTTAGCTATGTCAATATTTTGTGTGACAACAATAGAATGTAAAGATTTGGTCAAAGAATACTCTCAAGCAGCAACAGCAGGTGCAGAAAATGATGCAGCACTAAAGCACTGCCATTCTGGTGTCCATAAATCCAGAGGAGTTTAGAATTGGGATTAAAAACCGTAGGGAATGAAGGATGATGTAAACGGATAACTTATCTGGGATAATTCTCACTTTCATAAAAATGATAATCGAGCCCAATTTTCTTTTTCCACTTCTTCAGGCTCTCAGTTTATACTTCTGCTAAAGACCTGTATCGAGAGACTTGTTGCCCATTCTAAGAAAAGCACAAAATGCCAGTGAAAGGACAGTGACAATAGAAATTCACCCTTATGCGTGGGAAAACAACAGAAGTCTTAAGGACTCAGGAACTGGGGAATATGTGTCCTATAAAAGGGGTAACACACTTTCCACTCTGTCCAGTTACTACCTGATAGGAAGTTAGTTTACCATTATATGTCTTCTGGTATTTAAAAAAGGAAGTAGTCAGAGTGTTGATGTTTTAATTAAATGTACAATAATCTATTTATTATATATTGAAAATTAACTTGACTACAATATATTGAGTTAGCCCAGGGAAATAAACATGCATCCTGCTCCTGGCCTACACAGAAGCTGGGCTCTATTTGACATGGATTTGAGACCTCAGTCATGAAACAAATTGCTGGAGATGACGTAGTGGGTTCCTGCAGGACCCTTGTGGGGAACAGTGCTTTCTTGTTGCTGGAACCTCGGGAAGCCATATTGATACACTTTGTAGGCCAAGAAGGCCAGTCATGCCTGGGTTGGTAAGTGATTCTTTCACTTTCTTCTATATATAGAAATGGCTAAAGGACATTCATTATTGATATTCTGAACTTCTGAAACTTATTCATCTCAGATCTTGGAGTGTTTGAAGCTTAAAAAGAATGTTGTGTCCATGTCAAGTTGCTTTTAGACTATTGCATTTTACTACTTGGATTCCTTAGGAAAATAAACCACTATTTTGCCATTAAGCATCTGCAAGCTTAGAAGAAAATAAGATTGACACCACTGCTCAGAACCATTAGTCAAACTACAGTGGCTTTGGACAGGTAGTTTCCAAAATACATCAGCCTCATTTATACCCAACAGCAACATTAGACAGCAGGCATTTTTCTATTGTGTCACAAGGCTCCCAAGTACTAAAGCCGAATGTGTTTTTTGACATACACACTACTTTTAAGAAAAGGATCAGAAGTGGAAGGTAAAGTGACATAGTAAATGTGCATATCCCAGTAATTATACAGAAGAAAGAACCCAGTTTACTCAGAGGCTAGATTAAAATCATTAAGGAAATGAAATAGAGCAAAGAATCAACTAATATGATAAGCAGGGATTCTCTCAAAAGTTATGCCACATAGATCTAAGTGTGTGTAAGAAAGTAGAAACATCTGTTTATTCCTGGAAATTATTGTTCCAATAAATATCCCTGCACTATTTATTAGTTTTATTGATTTAAATAGTCAGTTCCTTGTACCCCAGGCATTCTTCAAATACACATTGAAAACAATGCTAATTAGGCAGCAATGGGGAAGAGGAAGGGATTGGGAAAGATTGGTCAAGGATCACTAAGCTACAGTCAAAAGTAAGAACTTCTGGTCGGCTATTGTAATGTAGGATACAGTAATGTATTATATATGTCTAAAAACTAGAAAAAATGATTATGTTTTTGCCATAGATAAATTATATATATTTGAATATATAGATATATTGAGCCTGATTTAAACATACACAATTCATATATGTATTGAATAAGCATATGGTGTGTGTGTGTGTGTGTGTGCATATATATATATGCTATTTTTGTGCTTTTATGTATCAGTGAAAGGAAATTTTAATTTTATTTTTTAGAGTTAATAACAATATATTGTATCTTTTTTAAAATTTATTTTAACAATAAAAGAAAGAAAACATTAACAAACAGACATCCATTTACAAAATAGCATAAGAACAATACAAGCAATACAGAGTGACTAAGTGGTAGGAAATTAACAGTGGTTGTTGTATTACATATTGATATCTTCAAAGTGCTTTCTTGGGTAAACAAATAGAGACATGCAAGATTGATCAAACAAGTAATCATTAACAGTTCCTTTCAGTAAATTGATAGAAGTTAGTAGTACAACTATGTTAGCTATTCTGTATATACATATGTACATAATTTCCCCTTCTTTCTTGTCTCTTTTCCCTCATCCCAGGTGCTCTTTACTTTTGAGCATTTTCCTTTCATTTCACAATAGCTATTTTTATTCACTCTTTCAGGTTCTTATACTAATGAGACAGTACATTGCTTACACATGGAGGTCTGGTTTATTTCACTTATGAGTATGGTCTCTAGTTGTGGCCATTTACCTGCAAAAGCCTCATGTTTATCTTTCTTTATAGCTGAGTAGAATTCCATTATATAAAGGTACCACAATTTATAGTGCTGAACTCACACATAAGGAAAACAGAAAGAAATAGCCTAATGCTGCACCTCAAACTTTTAGAAAAAGAAGAATAAGTCAAGCCCAAAGCCCAAAGAAGGGAGGAGATTACAAAGATCAGGGTAGAAATTAATACAACTGAGATGAAGAAAACCCTACAAAAAATAAATGAATCAAAGAGTGGGTTCTTTGAAAGAATAAATAAAATTGATAATCCCCTAGCCAACCTTATCAAAAAAGAAAGGAAAAAGCTCATATTCATGCAATAAGGAATGAAAAGGATGAAATTTCCTACCTGGAAAAATCTTTACTCTGATAGGATAGAAAACTCAGAAGAAACAGATAGATTCCTAGATATGTACAAATTACCAAAGTTGAATCAAGAAGATATAAAACTCCTGAGCAACCCAATATCAATTAATGACATTGAAAACATAACTAAAAACTTACTGACAAAGAAAAGCCCAGGCCCTGATGGATTCGCAGCAGAATTTTACAAGAAATTTACAGCAGATTTAATACCAACACTCCTCAAACTCTTCAGTGAAATTGAAAAGGAAACAATTCTCTCTAACTCATTTCTGGAGGCGAGTGTTATACTGATACCAAAACCAAGAAACAGAACTACAGACCAATCTCCCTAATGAATATAGATGCACAGATACTCAATAAAATATTAGCAAATAGAATGCAGCAAATCATCAAGGAAATCATACACCATGACCAAATCGGATTCATTCCAGGAATGCAGGGATGGTTCGGTATTCGCAAATCAATAAATATTATACACCATAAATATTATACACCAAGCCAAATAGAAAAACCACATGATCATCTCAATAGATGCAGAAAAAGCTTTTGACAAAGTCCAACATGCATTCATGATAAAAACCCTACAGAAAATTGGAATAGATGGACTTTACCTCAGTCTAATCAGAGCCAACTATGACAAACCAACAGCCAACATCATCCTAAATGGACAAAAACTGAAAGCTTTTACTTTAAAATTAGGAACAAGACAAGAATGTTCACTGTCACCACTCCTAAATTTTAATTTTAAAAAGTAAAATAAATAGAACTAATTTGGTTTCTAGTAATACACCACCTGGAAATGGAAGAATTTGCTCATCTGAATTTTTCTGCCCACTGATAGATTTATGCATATTAAATCTGATGTGGGCTTTAAATGTTCTTTCTTATTTTCCAGGCTTCTGTTATTGGAGTGAAATATACCATCTCTATGAAAGTAAACTTGATTTCCTATTAATGTAGAAAATTTATCTATGAGTTATTTATTTTAGCATATAATAGTGACAGAGGAGGTATTCTGTCATTTAAATTTTAATTGTCACATCAAAATGCTAGATAAAGCATGGCATGCCACATTCTTTTACCTTTGAGAGAGAGGAGATACAAAAATATTAATAATGGACTTAACATATCTTATAGGTAGAGGTGCCAGAATTTTAGGCCTGTTTTAAGTTGCCATAGGCAGAATGATTGAGCATTAATGGAAGAGAAAGGCACTATGGTTCTGAGTCATGGTCAGGATTTAAACACACGCAAAGCCAAGGCAGGTCACAGACAGAAAAAAATTTTCCATTGTGCATGCCAGAGTGAGTAATGTATTGTGTTTCACCAGAAGCAGTTTAGTGAATGTCAGCATCCATGTCAGTAAATTTGGACAGAGCATTATAATAATTCAGTAGTAACTTTAATATCTATAAAAAAAGGTCTGGAGTGACAGTCCAGTAAGTAGGAAATTTATTTAAATCTGAACTTGCAGGAAAGAACTTTTGTGTGTTAATGCAGTGCCATTTAGGGATTGATGGAAGTCAAGAAGAGCAAAAGTGTTTGAGAGTCCACTGTACTATTCCCATGATTTCAAAGAAAGATCCATGGAGAGACTCATAGGCCAGGTGGGAAAAGAACAGCTGTGGCATCACGGGGAAGGCTTTCAGTCAAGCATTAAGGAATACAGACTGACTTCTAAAGAGTATAATGTAGCTATTGTGAAGAAAAGGGCAGGATCTGACAAGGCCAGGCACACAGCGGGCATCATTTCTGGGACAGGGTACATGAGGAAGCAGCGATGAATCCATGTTGCTTAGCACTGGGAAGCAAACCATAGGTCTGAAGTTCCCTGGAATGACAGGGACCACCATAGAGGCATGGTCACCCTGCGCATGCAGGCCAGGGAAATCTGTGTAATGTCAGGCAGGGGCAACTAAACGACATTCTGGCAATGTGTGTGTCACCCATGAAGCAACAAGCAATATCTGTAGAAAATAGGCTGCTTTTCTTTTTCTTAGCAAGGTTTGAGGCAGGGGATTTAAAATTTTTTCTTCTCTTCTTCACATCTAATTTTCCTTATAGCATCTACCCTCTTTCCAAGCACACATTAAAAAAGGAATTAATAAATAAAAATATTGCAGATTTTCTGTAAACTCATTATCTCTGGGACACACGAAGTATATTATTTCCAGGTCTAAAGAAAAAGGAGCTTGTTTTACCGAAGAGTTGGAGCAAGTTTCTGATATAGTTGAGGCAAAGGCTGGGCTTGGTGGCACATGCCTGTAATCCCAGCACTCACGAGGCTGAAGCAGGAGGATCATTGTGAGTTCAGCCTGGGCTACAAGGTGAGCTCAAGGACAGCCTGAACTGACTCTGTGTTAAAAAGACCAAAAAAAAAAAAAAAAAAAAAAAACCCAAAAAATTAAGGGAGCCAGGAAGGGGGAGACTCCAAAGGCCTCCCACATTTGCATGGCACTGCAGTTCAGTATTATAGAGCCCAGCTCAGCTCTTTACAACTTCCTTGGAAAGTGTTTTTATTCTGAATGACAGCAGGATTAATGTCTGAGCTCAGGAGAAACCCAACTGTCAAAAAAAGTTTACTTCTTGCGGCTGCTCTCCTTGTCTTTGGGCGAGGCAAGCTTTTCCTTCTCTCCCAGCCCTGGGTTAGATAGTTCTAAATGTTGTTCAGTATTCTTTGTGGCAGCCCATGGATCCTGCTGCTTAACAAAAAACCAACAGCAAAAAATGAAGAGAAAGAAGAAGAAAGAGGCCAGGCAGTTCACAGAATCCTCACAGGACTGAGGAAACAAATTCTAGCCTGACCTTCCAGAAATACCTGTCATGTCCTCAGGTGTATGGACTACAAATATACTGCTGCTTCTGCCATGCTCAAAGCCACTGCCGTGGATATCCTGTTGTTCCTGTTTTATATTGCATATTTGTTTACTGTTGGTTAGCAAAATAGATAGCTAATATTATCTTTGCTTCTCAAATTAAAACCCTAGAAAGTAATTATAG